TTCCATCCATTTCTTTTATATTCATGCCTGTTTTTACCATATGCTATGAAATGAATACTACTTCAAAATATGGTTTAACTTTTTATAAAAATCACATATGAATTATGGCAACAATACCGGGCGATTTTCTAAGAAGAAATCTTAGCTAAAGCTTTTGAATTAAGTTGGCTTAAATCTTCTACTTAAATTTCCTGTCAGCCAGTGTATAATTTGAATAATCGGTAGATAAATTACTTAAAAGTGTGCAATAGCAAATTCAAGTCAAGCGCCTTAGCTAAGTACAAGCTTAAACAATCGCATACTTTTTGCCACTTTCATGACTTAGCTTCAAATGAAAATGTCATGCCAATACTTAAGCAAAAATACTTGGTTGCCATAAGTCATAGAGTTAAAAGTTTGCTAAGACAGCAGCTTCAGTACAAATGTGCTGAAGCACTTTTAGGTCAAGCACTACCTGTTCAAATAGAGCAATACTGAGCAGTTAATTGAGGAAGGTAAAACGTATTTTTCTAAGACAGTATCAGTATAAAAACGGCACAAGCATAAGTATTTTTATTTGCGGAGGTATTTACTACTATGTACTTTGTATATTTAATTATAATCTGCGGGTGGTCAGTTTCTTTTCTACATCAATTTTGGCGCTGCCGGGTGAGATTATTAATTTATTACTTTACTATAGCGTAATGTTATAGCTGAGTTTTCTGAGTTTATCGCCAACGCGATATTTAATTAAATGAATTTGTTACGTTTGATATAAAGTTTAATTTAGAATTACTTAAATTACCGAGTATATACTTGTATATGTATATTACAGAATTTATTATAAATACCTGTAACTCTGAATAGAGATAATCATATATACAAATTTGCAATGAAAATTGATATAAAGTGTTTAGTATTGGTTAGTGCATTAATTATTATTTTGAAATGATAGTAAAATCGCTCGACCACCAAATAGAAACTGTGCGAAAAGTTGATAATGTGACACTAATACACTATATGGACTTGACTGATTTAATAACAGATATTTTTAATTCTTCGCTGTAATAGTCAAATGTATAAAATAAGTTGATAAATAAAGAAACATAGCAAAGCGAAGAAGTTTAAGAAATCATGCAGGTAAAACTATTTTCAAAAATGGTCAACTCTTTCTGATCTTAATCTCATAAAACGGTTTTGAAAATAATTATTTTTGTATGGTTATCAACCTAAACTTGTACTTGCATTTAAAAATGATTTTGGAAAATATTGCCACCCTTTAAATTTTTACTATATTAAATTATTAAATAAAATTTTAATATTCATAAAATGTAAACATCTAAACATGTTTAATTTTGAAAAGGGAATACCTTGAAAAATATAATTGCAATAAGTCGAATGTTTAATAATAGTTCTAATATTTGTTAATGCAAGATTTTCAGAAATATTTGCGAATAAATAAATAGAAGAATATGGCTATCAATTCGAAGATCTAAGAATGCAATTTTGATAAATCGCCAAATTAATGAATTGATTATTTCCATAAACCCAATCTTTTCTTTAAGTATGAAATATAAGAATTTTAATGTTAAAATGAAGCTTGCAGGAGCCGGTCTGAATTGTTATTAACAAGAAATTTAAATATTTTGACGGAATATTATTCTCATGAGGTCGCAAGCAACTCTGTCCCTATAAACCATGCGTAGTCTTCCGTCATATATGGTCATTTTGTGCTTACCGTTGCATATAGCTTTAGAAACCTCGCTCAATGATGACACCAACCTAAAACCTATTAAGAATGAAAATCCTAAAAATATTGTTACATACATAGGTATGTACAACTCGATTAACAAACACCAATTTAAGCTCTATCAAGCAACTAGTTTTATATAATATAATAATAATATATTTTAATACACTTACCAACAAAGTCTTTGTAAGGAGAAAAGTGAAATAAACTTACTGACAAGGCAAATGCCTTCGCTGCAGCACTTATGTTTCTCTTATCCAAACGGAAGTCCCGTAAGCGCGTCTAAACTTACACTGATGAGAAACTCAATTACTGGTCTTTATAAGCGTAGATGACTGAAATTGTGACCAGAAGAATATTCACAGTAGCAGAAATAAAGTAATTAAAATATTGTATATAAGGTATCCTAGTATTCTGATATGTTAATGTATTTTAAAAAATATTGTTGACTACATTTTTTTGTAAACAAAAAATCTAAATTTTAAGTTAGAGTAAAATTCTAGTTGGGAATACTATGTCGTCTAAGAATTTGGCTATTAGAACAACAAAAGTGAAGATATTTTTCTTTATAAGATGTTTTCTCACTGGGAGATTGACATTGTGTAAATTTTAAGTTGATAGTTAATAATTAGAATTTATAATTAACAGTTAACTTTTTTCTAGAAATATACTTGAATACAAAGTTTGGAGCTTACCTTACTTTCTAAACAATAAAAAACGTTAACTTCGGTTGCACCGAAGCTATACAACCCTTCACAGATACAAAGGTTCCTTACAATAACTTGATTCGATCAATACTTCGTGAATCGGCAAGTAAAAAAAATCTTTAGCAGGACCTTAGGCCTTTCGATCTTCAGTTAATATGATACATATGACATTGTCGATCCGATCTAATTCCATTGCTTGCTCTTTTAAATAATAATTATCAAATTTCTGTGAAATATCTCGTCAATCAAAGAGTTTTCTATACAAGACTAGATCTCGATCGTCAAGTTTGTATGGCAGCTATATGCTATAGTGGTCCATATCGTCCGGACAATCGCTTCTAGTAACGATGCATAAATCCAGACGGCTTATAGTAGTGCATAATAGCGGACCGAGGACAGCATAATGCTAAGTGACTACTAATTAAGTTCCACGTATCTTCAATGTGTTAAATTGATGGCAAACTTAATGAATACTGTTATAGGAGAGATGATAATAAATTATTCAGATTAAAAGTATTAGAGGGTGATGGCATACATCATAGCCAAATATGATATTATTTGTATACATTGACTATATATACATATAAGTTATATATTTCATTACACGACCACATTTTGGTTATATTCATGGGATGCGATATTGATTAATATGTTTTATAACTGAGATTACTTAATATATGACTATACACGTTGGTACACCTAAATGTTTATATATCCTAAAATATCACCGAGTTATTCTTGATCAAATAGAGTCTTTCCAGTGCCCAGAAGTTTCAGTTCGAGCGAGAATTCCAATGGATGGTTATACAACGAAGCAAAGTTGTAAGCAATAGAGGTCGCTTTTTAAATTGTATGAATTTACGTATTTCCTAAAATCTTCATCATAATCTAAGATTGATTAATCAAGGACTGATCACTATAATAGATTTTCAAAACCAGAACATTAAAACGAAATACTACCATTAGAGACTGCGTGCAGAGTGTGACTACATACTTAGTAGTACGTCAGTCACATGATCACTATTACTATTTTGCTCTCTTACTTTATATGATTCGTTGCAAAAGGTCGAAACAATAAAGTAATGCTTTCTACTTGCTGAACGGATTTGGCTATTTTTTAGTGGATAAACAGAAATTGACTAATCACCGGATGGTTTGACGTAGAAAATATAAATTTGAATATATTATCACATTGCAGACCTGTTTGCGGGTTTGCCAAGCATTTTGAACATAAATGTCATTCTTGTTTACTTTGTTGATATCCCTTATAGAAATTGACATCGCTACAAAACCCTATATAAAATCTGTATGTCTGTAAACACCCTGTACTGCATACAAAGCGTTGAGCTACTAATTTGGTTATTAGTTTGAAAATAGCGGTATTTTAATTAACAACTCTGAAAGTCTAATCTCTTCTATAACAATAAAATACTTGATAAAATCATATAGTTAATAGTTTTTATTGGCGACAATTAGCTTTTGTTGTAACATATTTGTAATTTCTTTGTCTGTATTGGTATTAAGTAAATAAGTACATTATAATTTTTAATTAAGCACATATGTATTTTTAGAGAGCTTTTTATGGTTGTACTACATTTAAGAATAGATTTTGCATGCCTGAAGCAATTATTGATAGTTGCTTACTGCCGCTCGTTATGGGAATTATGTACGCTGAGTCACTTTTTGCCAACAAATAAGTTGGTCGTATATAATTTGTAGGTGTATTTTAAGTATCTTTTAAGGGTTTGTCGATTTTTCCATTTTCTTTGCTTTTCCCATTTCTTTGGTTTTTGCTATTAGCTAATATCATTTGTAGATAGGTATGTGTCGTGAATTAGTATGAATATTTATACTACGTGCAGTTCACGTAAAATTAATTAAAGAAAAATAATCATGACTACATCATTATGTATGCAGTGTGTTTGTAGTTGTTGTTGAGTCATAAATTAGGCGCATGACACCGCCGAAGTCTCTTCTTATCAACATCCAGTGAGCGTTGCACATCCACGAAAAATATCACTATGCGGAACGTTCGGCATTGAGCCTGCATATAAATGAAAACAAAATAAAATAGGAAAAATATTAAAATTACAAATTATGTAATCAACATATTTTTAGTAAAAAATATATTTGATTTGTAAGGCATTGCCGCCACTTACCGTTATCGTCTTGATGTATTGGGTTAGAATGGCATTGGTATTTGTTCTAAAGGTGGTCAACGAGTCTTGATGGTATCCTTATTGTCATCGGCACGCACTCTGGGAAGCAGCCGCACGTCCCATAATTAATCGTTGAACCATAACATCCTTAAAATAAAACAATAGACAAAGGTTTAGTAATTTACATAGGCTTTTTACTGTAATAAACTTTTTGATAAACGAAAAATTAATATAAATATGATTACTACTTGAAATAAGAAATCAAAAGGAGTGGAATCCATGTAACTTGACGGAATATATAATTTTATTTGAGAAAGCTTGAGAAATATGATAGAGAGTTGATCAAT